CTAACAATTTGATTAGTTACTTAATTATCATAATAAGTAGTCTATTTCCAATGTGGCTACAAAATTATTCAAATTTTGTTGAAATAGACAATATAGTATTTGAAACAATAATTATATGAAAGATACTTTTAAAAGGAATCATTTATTTTGCATACCTAACATGTGTATTGATGTGAATCTGTGTAAATTATTGAGTTGTGGATAATGATTGGTGAATTTGATTGGAGTCATGAATCAATCAAGGTTAGACCATCATTAGAAACATAGAAACACTGAACGATCATATTGTTTTAGTAGCTATGCACATCCATGACCCTCGCTCGTGAGAATCCAGCCTGGGACCTTCGGTTTCGAGCACGAACGTTTAACTGAGGAAACATTGAACCGGCCTTCGTGGTTGCAAACCATCATGGAACAAAGGCCATCGACCAGATTTCACCAACTTACTTTATCCTACGCCTTCCTTTTCAATTCTATCCAGTCGCTGTTCATTCTTTTCATGTCTGTCTCTGATTTGGAGCGTGATGTACTCTTTAGTCTTTCCCTCCTAGTTTGATCTTGAGGATTTCAACTTATAGCTTGTCTTGCGATGCAGATGGATGCTTTCCTCAGTGTGTATTCTATTCACTACAAGAGCTACTTCCTGATTTATTATTCCTCTGCTGGAATCTAGTTTATTCTCTACCACAGTAAGTTGTTGCTGATGGTGCATAAAACTGTTAACGAACATTTGTATTTTTCAAATGATGTTTTTCGTGGTTCTTCAAATTTCTGTTCCATACAGCAGAGCCATCTTGACATTAATATTTATAATTATGACTCTGATGTTAGTTGATAGATAGTTGTTTCGAGTTCCAGATAATCTTCACTTGTAGGATTGCTGCACTTGATTTGCCAATCCACACTTTCAGATCTACCATGCTAATCAATCATACTGTCCAGATACATAAAGGTTTTTACATCCTCCAAAGTTTTTCGTTAACAGTGATTTGGTGTTGTATTGGACAATCTTGGTTTTTCCTTCGTGTCTGTTGAAACCCGCTGCTTCAGGTGCCGGCTGCGCTCAAGTTGTTTTAGAAAAACTAATATTATTCTTGAAGAATAGGATTATTCAAAAAGATTGTGACGTAAGTATTCTAATCCTGTCACCGAGGTAAATTATTCTGCTTAACAAAATACTTGGTTTGTATTTAGCTTATAGTATAATTATCACTGGGATACCTTGAAAATATCAATATCTTTTCTTATTTACCATATTTACGCTAGTTATCTCTGTCACAAACAAAAACTGTGCTTCCGGTTCATTTACTCTACTGTGCTTACGAGTCTAAGTCCAAAAGAAATTAGTTGCTTCAATTCTGTTGGGTTCCTCGTTATCGTCTAGTAATCACAAGGAAGCAGTTCTGTTATCTCTCTTACTCTCCTCTCTCTTCGACCTAGTAACCGATTAGTTCATCTATATGATTAGTAGGACCAACCAATGAACAACAACCAAAAGAAGCTTAACGCTTATTGGTCCTGAAGCTCCTTCCACTCTAGCGACCAATCAGAAGATGAAAACAAATATCAGACCGAATGTCTGTTGTATTCATTTCAGTCATAACTCAAAACTCATAAAGTAATCTACATCAAATGTTTTATAACTGTGCACCGGACCAGGACCCATATCCCTCGTCCAGGGTGCTGATTCTCTTCTGGACTCGTACTTTCTGGATGTTTGTAGAATACAGGTTCTACTTCAAATCAAGTCTTCTTCTTTTACTCAATAGGGGGGGGGGGTTGGGACACTCGGATTAGAGTAGCATGTTGTGTCGCTGGATCCTCGATCCTCGCTCACGTTTTCCCACTAAAGTAAACTCGTAATAATTCAAGCATATCGAAATAACATGTTCATGGTCATGTGTAACAGTAGTAGGCAGTGGAATGGTGCAAGGACGTCATGACGAGAGTAAGGTGTATGCATCTCTGATCCGAATATATGTTGAGATTACTTGGTTTTGAAGAACACATGAATGACGGCAGCTGATAATCCGTTTGTTTTACAAACAAAAGTTTGAAGAGAAGGTGTACTACTACATTTTATCTAATGAACTAAGTTTTTCCCTAGTTTGGACTTTTGCATACTACTATTTCATGTAAGAATGCCTAACCTGTACCACACTGAACCGACGGCATCCAACGCTGGTAATGTCTAACATCGACTAACCCATAGCTTTGAACAAACTCATTCATTCTGTTCGCTTGGCATTGTTTCAAACCCAACAAAGTTGAATTTTATTATTTAGATAAACGTCATTTTCTACATGCAACAAAACATATAATTTTTCACGCATACTTTCATCACCATGATCAATCAATCAAGCAGTCTATGCCAACCAATACAATCAATCTATCAAAAATTCAACTCATCTCTATCTACTCTATCAAAATATACGCATGCACTAAGAAATCAATGTCTAGTGTATTGTAATTCTTTTTTTTATGATCATTTATCAAAAATTCCTTTGTTTTTTATTTACGAAAACAAAATAAAAATGTCAAACTATGTGTGATCAGAGATAATAAAAAAAATTCAGAAAAGTTTTTTTTCAATTCAAAAATAAATAAAATATAATAATTATTATTAGTAGTAGTAAGTAGTAGTAGTGTAGTGAACGAGAACACAGGTGGGGGGCAACCGAATTGTATTTAACGAAAATTACAGAGTTACTCAGTAAAATCGGAAAACCATATCGTAAATCGTTAATTTGCAAATTATCAGTCCATCATATCGAACTGGACTGTTCCTGTTGCAAACAACATCAATCCATTGTCACTATTCATGCGTTTCATACAAATTCCATTGTGTTCTAACTCTTCCTTTCTCTTGATCTTCCCCCATCTTCTGTTGCCGGACATTACGTTGACACTCACGTCATATACTACTTATAAGTAGCTCGCACCACAGTAGTAGTAAGTAGTTGTAGTGGTAGTTGTAGTAGTAGTAGTAGTAGTAGCTGCTCCCGACCGTAGCTTCTACCTTGACGTGTTGGTCATGCTTGACTATCGTGATGACCGAACCGAGCTATACTGGCTAGAACATATATTCCTGAAGGTTCTACCATGCCAGGCGGGTCGTTTTGAGAACGATGAGACTAAAAGCAGCTACTCAAGGTCTGAGGGCGAAGTCGTACTGCTGACTGCAGAGGGGTCTGACAGCAGTAATTTGTTTCCCTCGGACAATCACAAGGAAGGAAGGGTTAGAAAAGGTCGACCCTAAAAATCTCACACCTCACTCTACCTCACGGATCTCCGTCTCCGTCGGTAAGGGTGCTCACTAAGGGCTTTCAAGAGCGGAGCTAATCCTCAAAAAACCCTTCATACAAAGGCCGTGCATGACCGGCCTTAAGCAGTTGTCCCTTGGGCTCTGTGGTCACGCTCCCAGGTCTCTAAGACCAACACTAATCTATCTTCCTTTTCAGATCTCTCAAGAAACAAACTTACATGGTGTGGGCAGCCGGCAAGTGAAAATCGCCCTCATAACCGTAACAGCACACGAGACCAAATTGGTCAAAATAATAATAATTATTATTGAGATGGTGGAGAAAACTTGTAGCTCAGGTGGATGATTGTGTTGGTATTTCGTTCTCTGAGCTGGTTGTTTCGGTTGTGGAGCTTTCATTGTTCTTCTGAACAACATCATCGTCAGCATAAACTTCAGATAGAAGTGAAGCATTCGAATTTCTCCACGTTTGATAAATTGGATCAATGTCAATGTGTTTGTTGATTGCTGATTGACCTGATTGACCAAGCTTCTAAAAATTCTCTAGTGTTATTTGTCCTCCCCCTACCCAGTATTTCCACATTGTTCTAATCAAATGTGTGTCCATAATTGTCAGTGTGTATTGATATAAGCGAAGCGTTGTCGTGGCGTTTGACTGCTAATTGATGTTCACGTAAATGGAGCTGAAGAGGTCGTCCACTTTGTCCTGTGTAGTGTTTTTCACAGTTTGAGCAATTCATTTTGTAGATGATATTTGGTTTTCCTTCCTTTGTCATTTTATCCTTTGGTCTACATAGGATTGACTGAAGTGATTCTATTGGTTTGTATGCAACACCTATTCGAAATGGTTTGAGTAGTCGAGCTGTATGCTCCGATATGTCTTTGATATATGTTAGGATGATGCGTTTATTTGTTTCCGTGCTTGATTTCGCTTCTGATGATGGTTTTTTGATGAAGTTGTGTGGATAGCCGTTCTTTTGGAAGATAGTCATCAGGTGTTTTTCCTCGTTTTTTAATGCTTCGTATGTGCTGCAATGTGTCTCCGCTCTCTTGAACAAAGTTTGTATGTAGTTGATTTTGTGGGTTGGCTTCCGAAATACATGAGTTTCAAGTTTTCCTGTGTTAGTTCTGGTGATTAGTACATCCAGGAATGATAGACTGTTGTTTGATTCCTTTTCCATCGTGAATTTCATGTCATCGAAGACGTTGTTGATCTGATTGTAGATGTTCTCCAGCTCATTCCTTTTGATAATAACGAATGTGTCGTCTACATAGCGAACCCACATTTTTGGCTTGATCACTGCCAGCAATCAACAAACACATCGACATTGACCAAATCTATCAAACAATCAGAAAAATCATAGGTAAACATAGGATCAAGAAACAGATCAAAAGAGGGATACAATAAAAACAAAGTTGCAAACAACGACAGGTCAAAAGTCAACAGCAACCAATCAAGATCGAGGTTAGCAGAACAAGCTACAGGTCAAACGTGGAGAAATTCGAATGCTTCACTTCTGCTATCTGATGTTTGTGCTGACGATGATGTTGTTCAGAAGAAGAACAATGAAAGCTCCACAATCAAATCACATCCAGCTCAAAGAACGAAACACCACCACAATTATTATTATTATTTATTAAAACAAAATGTACACAAATCAATATCATTTAGAAATTACACTAAACTGCAAATCCATTTTACTTCATCATTCATTTAAACGTCAAACAGACAAGTTATCATCATCATCATCATCATCATCATTGAAGATGATTTAATATGCATTTGAAATCAATTGTTTCTGTCTGTTTGTTTGATTGTTTGTTCAAGGTCAAATGAGTTCTCGTTTGTTTTACTTTTTATTTTTAAATAAGGCGCTATTCAGCAAGCAAGGTGTGTGTGTGTGTAAGTGTGTGTGAGTGTAGGTGATTGTGGATGATTGAGAGAGCGGGAGACAGACAGAGAGAGAGAGACGGAGGAAGACATAGTATTGTCTCTTGAAATTCTTTGATCTTTTTTTATTATTCACCGGCAATAAAAGTTGTTTTTTTTTTGAAATGAATCATAGTTTTTACAATCTAAACAATTTCATTTTGATTTTTGATTCAATAATGATTAAGAATATTTTTTTACCTCAATAATTTAAAAATTTATTCTTGTATTTAATAATTTTGAATGATAATAATTATTATTGTTGTTCGGAGTACGTGACATATCATGATGATGATTGGGATGACTGGGATGATTGGGAGGATGTTGGGGATGTTGATGACAGGCAGAGGATTCCGGCCGATTGGCTGTAGTCCATAATTGTGTAATTAAATATTTTGGTAATAAAAATGGAAATAATTTGTTACAATGATTATTATTTATATGTTGTTCTAAATCAATTGGATCAATGGAACATTGAGCTAATTTATAAATGTAGAATGCTGCAAAAGGTTGTTTGAATTGAACGCCGAAGAAAAAAAATTAGGAGAGGGAAAATATAAAAAAAAGGATGAAATAGTATTTTATTGAAATATATATAATAAATATTGGTATGTAGATGTTACGCGCCTGCACGTAAACACGTCAACTTTTTATAATTGAACTATTACGAGTTTACCTAGTCGGGAGAACGAGAACGAGGATCCGGCGACACGACATGTTACTCAAATCCGATTATTACAACCCCCATATTTAGTTAAAATAAGAAGACATGATATGAAGTAGAATGTGTATTCTACAAGCATCCAGAAAGCACGAGGTCCGAATACAGAAGAGAAACAGGATCCCGGACTAGGGAACCGGGACCGAGCCGTGGTCCTGGTCGTGGTCAATAAACGTTGCAGATAATGCGTATTTATACATTTTGGTCGAATACGAAACAGCATCGAAGTGTGTGGCATAAAACTTTACAGAGACAATGGATATTTTACTGTTAGGTCGACTTTGAATACTTAACCAATAGGAAACAACATTTAAAAGTATGTGAACTTGATAGTTTAAGACGACCTTCAATTTTGACCAATAGCATTAGACTTACAAAATAATTTCTTTAAAATATCTAATGAATATCCTAACACTTATTTGATTTGATACTTGATTATCTCAATCTATAAATAATTTATAAAGTAATTCAGTAGTAGACAACTGACAAAACTGACAAAAAAATGTTTTATTTATTTGCCTGTGAATCAATTCATTCAAATGACGTAAAAATACCTGTGTCATATAGTCTATCAATCACATGATATAATTCATTCCGAAGGAAAAAAAATTTATAATGAATGATCAATTTGGCATGATGAATTCATTGTTTGTTAGAATTCCATAAGTCACTTGTTACATATTTGCTGAAGTATGTTTGTTATGATTCCTGATATGTTTTTCATTACATACTTACTTAATTTGCCTGTCACTCCCAACGGATCATAGGCCACCAAGCAGTGTTATCCAACCTATTCTATCCTGAACATTCCTTACCAATTCTGTACAATTTCTGTTCATTTTTCTCATGCCTAGATCCATTTCTTGACGTAATGTATTTGTTTGCCTTCCTCTTTTCCTTAGACCTTGTGGGTTTTATGTGAGGGCTTGCCTTGTGACGCAGTTTGGTGCTTTACGCAGTGTGTGTCCTATCCACTTCCACCGCTTCTTCCTGATTTTCTCCTACACTGGAATCTGGTTTGTTTTTTTCCTACAGTAGATTGTTGCTGATGCTGTCTGACCAATGGATCTGAATTAGTTTGCGTAGACAACTGTTAATGAATACTTGTATGTTCTGCATGATGGCTATGGTAGTTCTTCAAATTTCAGCCCCATACAATAAACTCTGCCATCCTATTATTTTCAAATTTAAGGAATTTCAAGTTGAAATTTAAGGAAAGAGTTAGAGTGGAAGGATATAAATTATCTTCTGGATGATGGCTTTCGCAATTCTCCAAGTTTCTGCTGTATACAGTAGAACTGTCTTGACATTTGTATTGAAAATTATGTCTTTGGTGTTTGTTGACAGTTGTTTGAGTTCCAGATGTTGTTCAGCCCTTGCTTCGCTGATTCGCGCCCACACATCTGCATTGGATCCACCTTGATTGTCGATGATGATGCTCCTTCTTTTCATAGTAGATCTTACTGAATCAGTGAGAAGTGACCGAATTGAGAGGGTGATTTTATCATTATCAGAAAATATCCTAAATGATGAATGCATATGCATTGGGTCAAGAAGCGGTTTTCCTTTATTCTAAAGAGATGAACTAAAGTATGGATGTATGTGTATGCATGATGTGTAGATGAGTATTTGTACTTATGATTCTGTAACCAATTTAGACTTTCTCTATCATTATTGCCTTTCTGATTAAGTAACCAGTGATCATTGTTCAGAAGACGTTCAAATCGTGACGATTAGATCTCGGACATACGCACATTATAACACTAAGGTTTATCGAATCTAAGTATTATTAATAAAAGTTCATCAGTAGGTGCAGAAATCAGTTAAAACAAAAGCCTGTCTTTTATTTTGCTGAGAAGAAATAGGTTTATATCACTTTACCATTTAGAGGCGAATCAAATAGTCTAATCTTAAGAAAGCGACTAAAATCAGCCATAGAGAAAACATACTACGCTGCTTAACTGATTATAATTGAAAAGACTGAGCCCATGATTTCACATAAACCTAAACATTACTCGAATGATCACATCACATCCCATTGCATTTATCAACTTATATGTTTGTGTGGACACACATATATAGGGAGGAGTAATCGGACTCTGCTGTCAAATGTTATGGAACATGTTCCTAAGTGGCTTCAAAATCAGATGACCGGATAAACGTTGGAAATCGAAAACCTTGTTCATCGATTGCAAAACACATAATTGAGACAGGGCACAATTAAGATTGACATCAAGACAGCCTTTAAAACATTGCATAGAAACGTTGAAGAATGAATTTTGAGGTTTATCAAAGTCTTCGTTATATTCGTAAACATATTTGACAGCCAACTGTTTTTCAGAAACTATGTGATGTTGAAAAAATAAGTATTCATCACTCCTAAATATATTTAACATCAAGTTGTCTAATCTTCAGTACACATTCAAACAACAGAATTAACAAACATTGTACAACTAAATAAGGTTGATGCGTATAAAGAAATTTTTATAAATGATCGAAAAATCCAATCAGCAAGGTTTTTTCTTTCGGAGTGTGATGGAAATGAAAAAAATTAATGTTGGACCAGCAATAGAAGAAATCTGCAAGCACTAAAAGATGGCCATTTCGACTTGGTATGAGATTCATCAGTGGCAATGTGCATGCACGACTCCTGCTGCTCACAGGCCTCAAACCCTGAACCATCGATCTTCCACGCAAACACCTAATCTCTGGAACATTGGTCCAGTTTCCAATGTTATTCATACCTAGTGCTGTTCAGTGCTTCGTAGTTTCTAACGATGTGGCAGCTCTTACTAACCATTTACAGAAATTCCAAGGGGCTTGAGTTTCAAGTGATCGAGCAAGAAATTGAGAACAAATTAAAGTTGGTTAAAAACAGTGGAATATAGTACATTGTCAGCTAATCGAATAAGTGTTTGGTTTCCAGATTAAATAACTTAAATGTTCAGTATTTTAGGAGGTAAAATTTTAAAAGATTTAAACTTAACTGTTTATTATTTTTGTATATAGGATTTCAAGTTTACTTTACAAAAACAACTAGTGATCAGCAGTTGGAAGTAACGTTCATTCTGTTCAAGACATATTACTAACTAGTACAATGTTTCACTCAGATTGTATTTTTTTCCGAATCTTATCAAGCGATAACTCGTAACCTGTTACGCTCGACACGTCACTTAGTCGATGAACGCGAAAGAAACTTTTACCAGCGTCCAGGTAGGCTACCTTGAATCCCCACTAAGGTAAGAAGGCATGGTAAGCGTAGAAAGTACATTCTACAAACACCCAGCAATCACACAATACAATCAAGCACACAACTCTCGTTTATTTATACATCATACAAACGTCCTTGAGACAGGTAAGAAAATAGCACACTAAAATACACAGCAGCTAATCACAGCCATGGATTTTCCTGGTGGGAAATAAAAATCTCAAGGTCAACTAACTGACCAGCCCATGCTCAGAAACCTAAAATCCAAAATTAAGGCATTTATCAAGCGAATTTCGAGGATCTAACATCCCAAACATAACCATTTTATGTACTCACCCAGAATTGGTGTGATAAAACAAACATGAAGAGGTAAGTTGGTTAAAATACTGTAATGTTCAGAAACAAATAGCCCAAATGTTTAACAGTGGCAATCAGTTAAACAAAAAATTGACCTAAAGGTCGATCAACTACATAGTTCAATTTAGAAGTTCATGTAAATGACGTTTAATCTCAATAAACTATGCATAAACTTTTCATGAAATAATTATTTCACTTCACTTACCAAGTTCATTATCTTCAAAACCAAGATTATCACCAAGTAATTCATTAATTTTTTGTGTACCTTCAACTTCAATATCTACAATCTAATTTTTAATCAAAAAAATAAAAAAGCGAAAACAATTCACATGAAAGGATTAGCGTCAAAATGAATCTGAAATCAATAAATTCAACCGTTTTCTTTTCTCTCTGTTTTCTCTTACAAATTCTAATCTTTTGAACTTCTCATGAGCTTTCATTTTTTTATTTCATTATGGAGAGTGTAAAATCGAAAGAAGGGGTTTGTCGATGAGTTAATAGAGTTATTAATAGGTGTAAATGTTGGGGATGTTAGATCCCCAAAATTCGCTTGATAAATGCCTTATTTTGGTTTTCACGTTTGCCAGCATGGGCTGATCAGTTGACATTGAGATTTCAATTCCCGCCAGGAAAATCCATGCCTGTGATTGGCTGCTGTGTATTTTAGTGTACTATTTTCTTAACTGTCCCACTAGGACGTTTCTATGATGTATAAATAAACGAGAGTTGTGTGCTTGATTGTACTGTGATTGCTGGGTGTTTTTAGAATATACTTTCTACGCTCACAAAGCCTTTATAATTCAGCCTAGGGATTCAAGCTAGCCTACCTGGACGCTGGTTCATTGTCTCGTTCGCGTTTTATCGACGAAGGTAAACTCGTAATAGCCTCAAGCATACTAAGTGACGAACTAATCAGTAAAAAGGATTTGATTGTGACCGATTCGGTCTCATATTCTTTTAAGGGTATGAGTGTGGATGTTCATTCCCGGTTGCTCACACTTTGGAAGGGTGTTTCGTGAGGAACTTGAAAAGGAAGGTAGATTATACCGTTGATCTTAGCGACCTGGGAGCGTGACTACAGAGCCCAAGGGATAATAATTGTTTGATCTATTCAATCTGGCTGGTAAAAATGTCAAGGTTATTTTTCACATGAATAAACGATTACAGTTTGAGAATAGACAATAACGTTAACTGAGATCATCAATCAATCATTATTAGACTAATGAGTCAGTAGCTTCGTGAGGAAATTCTCAAAGTTCTAGTGAGAAGTTGTGAGTAGTGAGTTGAAGCCTATCGGCTGTAGGTAGTTACTCATTGAAGACAATGGATGAGGTTACTCAATACCATGAATTTATCGAAATTAGACATTAACATTGTCGAATGACGGCTAACTGACTGATCAACAAGGTTAAGCTTTCACGAACGAGACTGAAGTTGTCTGGTTCATTTCTCGCTAGCTGGAGTCATGGATGCGCACTGCTGCTGAATCACATACTAGGACTAAGCAGCTATCCAGTGCTTGTGGGTTTCAAATGGTAGTCTGTCAATGATCGATACATAACCTCAATGATACCCTAACAACCTTCATAACTTCTCTAATAAAAATAACATATCATAGGCGTCTAAGTTTGTTGTGCTCGTCAACTGATATACTTGAAGGCTATTACGAGTTCACCTTAGTCGGGAAAGAAGAGCGAACACAAATGATCCCGTGACATGATAGGCTATTCTAATCCGAGCGTCCCAAGACCCCCACTAACGGTATCAAAAAGGTCTTGATAAGACGTAGAATGTGTATTCTACAAGCACCTAGATAATATAAGGTTTTGTACAGAACAAAGAGAAGAAGAGGAGCATAGAACTTCACAGACAATATATATTTATACAGTCAGGTCGACCGTGAATCCTCACCAATAGGAAAGAACATTTAAAAGTATATGAACTTGATAGTTTAGGACAACCTTAACTAATGACCAATAGAAGTAGACTCACAAGATAATTTCTTTACAATATTTGATGAATATCCTAACAGGTAGTGTTGCTTGTTATTACCGATCATTGTTGTTAGACCAGTTTCATTAGAAAGTTGAAAGTATTGGACAGTCATTTTGTCTTGGTATGCGACTCATCAATGACAGTGTGCATCCACAACTCACAGAATTATTTTTTTAAATTTATTTCACTAGATTATACTTCTTGAATTCTATCACTGAAGATTCTCATACTCGGGACGAAAACGTGTTCGATTCATGATATCGATCAAAAACAATTCAAAAATAAAAACCGAATAATTTCCTATAACTCAGTGATCAAACTTTGTTTTGTAAATCTCTTTGAGTTTTCAGTTCAAACAGAATGTGAATAGATTATCGGTGTTGGAGATGTTAGATCTCCTGGACTTACTTGGAAAAAGTGTTAATTTTGGATTTTTTTATGTTTTCGGGCATGAGCTGCTTAGTTGACCTTTAGCTTACATTTACCACTCGAAAAATCCTTGACTATCATAGGCTAATGGATGATTTTTAGTACGTTATTTTGTGACTCTCCCAAGAAGGTTTCTATCATGTTAAGATAAGCGCGATTTGTGTGCTTTTCAACCTTATATTTTCTGGGTGCTTGTAGAATACACTTTCTATGCCATATCAAAACTTTTTGATATAGTTAATCGGGTCGAGGACAACGGATTAGAGTAGCCTATCATGTCGCTGCATCATTTGTCTTTGCGCTCATTTACCTAGTAAGATGAACTTGTAATAGCATTCAGGCATATCAATTGACGAGCATATCAATCAGGAACGTCTCACACGTTAAATGTGTACAATCTTAGTTTAAAACATGAATCTCTCAAGAAAAATTACTGGTATATCTCTTGAGGAAAGAAATTTAAATTCTAACAATCATTACAAATTCAAATTTATATCATATTCTAATTTTTATTTGTAACCATGAATTGATCATTGTTAGACCACCATTAGAAACGTGGTGGTTAGACATTAACAACACCGTTAGATACCGGCTCAGTGGTCTAATGGTTAGGGCGTTCGCGCACAATACTGAAGGTCCTGGGTTCGAACCCTGCGGGGTGCAGGAGTCGTGGATGTGTACTGTCAGTGATGAGTACCATACCAGCACGAAACGGCCGTCCAGTGCTTGTTCCAGGTTTCTAATGGTGGTGTCTACACCTGAACAGGTTGAACTTCACCGGTCACGACTTCCCACTAGAACTTGGAGAAGATTCTCCTTACGAAGCTAGTCACTAGTGAGCACAGTTAGTTTGCATTACAGGGTTGTTGTGAAGATTGTTAAGTTTTATTCGAAACCATGAATCCATCAATGTTATTCGTGGGTGCGCACTGTCAGTGATGAGTCCCATACCAGGTCGAAACGGCCGTCCAGTGCTCGTTCCAGGTTTCTAATGCTGGTCTTACATTGATCGATTCATGGTTACAAATAAAACTTAACAATCTTCACAACAACCCCGCAATCTAATTTTCAGTTTAAAAACTAATCATTGAATTATGTATGGTTTGTTTTGTTTTTCAAATCACACTTAAAACACCAAAAATGTAGCTTCCTTTTTATTTATCTGTAAGACACATTTTCATAAACTCGATATATTGATTGATTCATGCTAACTTTAAGATACATTGCTTTGAGATTACTAAAATTAGCTTCAATGTACGTCGAATATCAAAATAGACAAACAGACACGCACACGCACGCACACACACACTTGAAGAATAGGATCGATAATATTGGAAGTGAGTTTCGCCAACACGTACAAAAACATATGTGACACTGAATTTGATGAAGAAAGCCAGAAAGATATGAAATTAGGCACAAAACACAGTCATTTTCATTTCATTTATGAGAAGAATAATGATAAATAGTCAAGTTGACTGGTAATTTTACTACATTTTTAATCAGTGTAGACTAGAGATGATTGATATATATTTTCAAGTACATTATGATGTAATAATTGAAGAAGTCAAGATTAAGAATGACATTGTGGTAATGTTTATATTTTAACAAATCAAATATGCGCTACACCAATATTGGTGATACTTTAATTACTGGCAGTCAGATTTTTTTACATATCGTGCCATAACTACGTATCGGATACTCTTTATTCTAGTCAGTCAGATGAAACGTAGAACTTCGTACGTAAGTAAGTACATCAGTTCATGTTGCCATACCACATCAGCACAGAGAGATGTAATTGTCAATTCAAGTCCAATAGTAGTAGAAGAGGTAGTAAAGGTATTAGAAGTAATCGGAGAGGTTAGGATTAGAAGATATTATTCAAGAAGTATGATTCAGTGGGAAACGCTTACAAAGTTGAAGAATCCAGAAGATTAGGATTTGAGAGAACACACAGAATAAATGCACTGGCGCCATTACAAACGATTCTGAGCCATGTCATTCAAGGTCACTAACCATCGATTACTATCATCTCGCGGACCCCAACCAGGTGGTAGTCGACAACTACCGACATGGCTAAGTCCACTCGTCAATGACTTCATGGATTGCTGCCATGTTTTGTTTCGGCCGCCCCTAACTTTCTTGTAAACTACTCCTACACTACAAAACAAAGCTCAACGAGGCAGTCCGTGGTTAGCCATACGTAACACATGTCCCAACCACCTCAACTGATCAAGTTTCAGCACTTCATCTATTGATTTGCCATTCTTACCTAGCACCCGTTTCCTGACAAATCTCACTAGCCATGTTTCACAGCCATAAAGTAAGACGGAGCGAACTAATGCACAGTGCACTCGTCCTTTAGTCAACAAACGGATATCTCGCCTACGCCATAAGTGACGCAGGTTGGCAAACGCCAATCGAGCCTTCTGTATCCGTGCTGAGATTTCGTCAGTCATCAGGCCATCGGCACTGATGAGACTCCCAAGATAAGTGAAGCGGTCTACACGCTCGACTACTTCACTCCCTATCACTAGTTCAGGTGCCGATGCAACCCAATCTTGAAGCAACCATTCTAAACGTGACCTGAATGTTCTTAGTTCAATGCGCACCGCATAACTGTCTAGGTAGTTTAGATATGCGCTATTGCCCAGTTTAAAACCAAAACAAGTGATTCGGATAAATAACGGTTCTAATATTCGAGCACGTTTCTAAGAATTTGAGACTGAGAAGTGTTCAATAACACAAAATAGTGCAACAGACTGGTATTTATTTGACACTGAATTTAGGATCCAAACAGAGGTTTGGATTGAGGTATAACTGTCCAGGTAGTATAGAAACGCGCTATTGCCCAGTTGAAACCAAAACAAGTGATTAGGGTAAATGACGGTTCTAATATATACATCATTACCTAAACAAATATTACCACTTAGTTATTCCTTCAACAATTGTTCAATTAATCAAATCCACAACAGCAACAGATAAATGTTATTCTATCCCTCCTGGATAGATCCGATTCGTTCGACAGATAATAATATTTGGTTGCTTTATAACACATAGTGTTTCCTATTCTGGAGCTGTTTCAATTCACAATCAAAATGAAAAATACCAGTCAATTTAAGCAACACAATCAAAAGAGGAACAAATCAATATGGCTGTCGCTATGACTAAGTATCAGCTTAAACAACATAAATGCAGTTCAGAAAGAAACATAGAAACTCATTAAAGGCACAAAAAATAGAAACTATAATCAAAAATACAAATATTATCATCTCCGAAATGGAATCGAACAGACTAAAAAAATGTACAACTGAAGGAGAATCAATGAGGACAAATTACAACTGTGCATGCAACATGGAGAGCGATTTTCATAAAACAAAACCTTCTGTTGACCTCAACCTTGATTGGTTATTATCAACCAAGCTACGAATCATAAACATACACTTCTCTACTACTATTTGAACTTTATGCTACCGATAATGTTGTTGTTGGTGTTCTTGTGTAGTGAAGGGGAACACAGGTGACGGCAACCAAATTGTATTTAACGAAAATTACAGAGTTACTCAGTAAAATTGGAAAACCATATTGTAACCACCGTTAATTTGCAAATCTTCAATCCATCATCAATCCATTGTCTGACATTTCACTTATCCATGCGTTTCATACAAATTCCATTGTGTTCCCACTCTTCCTTTCTCTTGATCTTCCCTCATCTTCTGCTGCCAGACATTACGTTGACACTCACGTCATATACTACTTATAAGTAGAGCGCACCACAGTTGTAGGTGTTATTCAATAGAAGAGAACAAACAATCACAACTTCACAACTAAAGAAACATACACACACACAACTCCAGAGAATGAAACTGTAGCCATAATCTGTGCAAATACATTTGTAAATTGAGATGGTGGAGAAAATTTGTAGCTCAGGTGGATGATTGTGGTGGCGTTTCATTCTCTGAGCTGGATGTTGTTTTGGTTGTGGAGCTTTCATTGTTCTTATTCTGAACAACATCATCGTCAGCACAAACTTCAGATAGTAGAAGTGAAGCATTCGAATTTCTACACGTTTGACTTGTAGCTTGTTCTGCTAACCTCGATCTTGATTGGTTGCTGTTGACTTTTGACCTGTCGTTGTTTGCAACCTTGTTTTGATTGCACCTCCCTTTTGATCTGTTTCTTGATCCTGTGTCACCTATGATTTTCCTGATTGGTTGATAAATCGGGTAAACGTCTATGTGTTTGTTGATTGCTGATTGACCTGAGTGCCAAGCTTCTAAAAATTCCCTATTGTTCTTTGTCCTCCCCCTACCCAGTATTTCCACATTGTTCCAATCAAATGTGTGTCCATAATTGTCGGTGTGTGTATTGATATAAGCGAAGCGTTGTCGTGGCATTTGACTGCTAATTGATATTCACGTAAACGGAGCTGAAGAGGTCGTCTACTTTGTCCTATGTAGTGTACAGAACAACAATCAGAGCTCCACAACCAAAACAACCAGCTCAGAGAACGAAACACCACCACAAACATTTGTAATTTGTCAAATTATAAATGTGTATGTATTCTTGCTTGCATTGCTTCTCTTTAATATATATGTAAATTATATTTTGAAATGATCTTATCAATCAGTATTCATAGATTCATAGATTGAAAAAAACAAAAAAATACATTTTGATCAAATTACAACTTAAATAATACAAACTGAAAATACTGTTAAACACAAGTGTATATATATCTACATACATGATGTATGTAGATATATACTAGTTCATACAATAACAACAGCAGCAGAAAATTGTACACTATGATATTTTGTACAATTTAACTTGAAAGTATAACACTGCATTTTAATTTTTCATTGTAAGATTCAAATGAAATTTAAGACATATTAAAAAACTATGTATGTGTTATTAATTAAAATAGTTTTTTTAACTTTTATATATTTAAACAAACAATTGATAGAATTTAAATGACAGTGGAATATGTAGTAGGAGGATAAGAGAGTGTTTTTGGTCAACTTCTTTTTTTTTCGTGATTTGTCAATTGAATAATAGAGCTATATTGTAGAGTTGATGTTTGGTTTTGAATGTCATCATATGATCTTACTTAATTAGGCATTTTATACCCCCATTGAAGCAGAGGCAACCGATCAGTATTCTCTAATCCATTCTGTCCTAGGCTTCCTTTTACGCTTTGTTATGCTCGTCAGTTGACATGCTTGAAACTATTATGAGTTCACCTTATTCGGTAAACGAGAGCAAAGACAAATGATCCAGTGACACGACAGGCTATTCTTATCCGTTATCCACAGCTCGGCTAACTACATAAGGCGTAGAAAATTGTATTCTACAAGCACCCAGAAAATATGAGGTTGACAAGCACACAAATCGAGTTTATTTATACACGATATAAATGTCCTTGGGACAGCTACAAAATAGCATTCTAAAATAATGAACCGTCAACCAATGACAGTGAAGGATTTTTCGAGGGGTGGAAATGTAATCTCAAGGTCAACTGATCAGTCCATGCGCGAAAGCATAAAATTCGGAAGTAAGGACCCTTTCCAAATTAGTTCTGGGAATCTAGCGTAACCAACAAAGTCGCGCCCGATTTTTGTTCATTTTTCTCATGCCTGTCTCTATTTCTTGCCGTAATGTGTTCTCTGGCCTTCCTTTTTTCCTTTGAATTTGAGGGTTTCAAGTGAGAGCATGTCTTGTAACGCAGTTCGATGCCTTCCTTAACGTGTGTCCTATCGACTTCCAGTAAAAATTACATTATCTATTCTACATCAAATTGTCATATACGCTCTGTCGAGATAATTGAAACAGGATACCTAAAGGCCAACTAAGACTGATGAATTTTCAGTTAGAATGTGAACAAAAGGATAATTCAAGTCATTTTAAAACATCATTCTAATTACATAAATCAGTGCGCAGAGTTATTTGAAATCAATGGACAATTGAATAAAGTAATGCCTAGTCTCTATCGAAACCGGAGAACCAACATGTTATCTTAAATATCACAAACATAGTAGCCTGCCAAGATGATTAAACTCTTCCAATCATAGCTATGATTCGTTTGAGGTAAAGACCAGTGTCAGGCAAGGTTGCTTACTATCACCTTTTCCCCTGGTGATCGACCGGATTATGAAAACGTTAACATCTGGATTAAAGCATGGTATCCAGTGGACAGCCAGGATGAAGCTGGACGATTTGGACTCCGCAGATGACCTGGCTGTTCTATCGCACACGCAACAATAAATGCAAGAGAAGACAACCAACAGAAAAGCAGCGGCAGGTCACAACATACATAAAGAGAAAAGTAAGTTTCTCCGATACAAAATAACATGTGACACAAAAATCATTCTTGAAGGAAGTTGACAACTTTACATATCTGCGCAGCATCGTCGACAATCAAGGTAGATCTAATGCAGACTTGAGAGCGCGGATCGGCAAAGTAAGGACAGCATTTCTGCAACTGAAGAGTATCCAGAACTTCAAACAACTATCTATAAACACCAAAATAAGGGTTTTCAATACCAATATCAAGACAGTTCTACTGTATGGAGTGGAAACATGGAGAACTACGAAATTCATCATCCAGAAGATACAAGTATTTATGAACAGTTGTCTACGCAAAATACTTCAGATCCGTTGAACATGCACTGTCGGCAAAAATCTACTATGGGAAAGAACAAACCAGAATCTAGCGAAGGAGGAAATCATGAAGAAGCGATGAACGTTGATCAGACACACACTGCGCAAAGCACCCAGCTGCATCACAAGACAAGCTCTCACTTGGAATCCACAAAGTCTAAGGAAAAAAGGATGGCTAAGAAATATATTACGCTGAATAATAGAGAAAGACATGGGAAGAATGATTAAGAATTTGGAGGAACTTGAAAAAGAATCCCTAGTTTGGAGAAAACTGGTTGAAGGCTTTTGCTTCATTGGGGGTGACAGGTGTAAAGTAAGTTAGTAAGTGCATAAGTAAGTAAGTAAGTAAGTAAGTAAGCAAGTAAATATATATATCAAAATTACGAATACAACATATTTACCTCACTTTCTTCCATTCTACCATCTTGTTTTAAACGAATTGTTTTTCTCCCAGATCCCAGGCGAGAATTTTTTTCTTTAGAACGTGAATTTATCATATCTATTTATGAAAAAAAGAATTCATTCATTGTTCAATATAAATATATATTCTAAAATGTGTAAAAAACAAATCAGTAAAATGTTGTTTAGCTTTTTTTTAAAATAAAAATATCAAATAAAATGTACTGAACCTATTCAGTGTTCATCCGATGTGTTATATAGTTAATATTTCCACAGTTATATTCTTTGTAGAACCATCGGGTCTACTGCCGGTTCCAAGCCCGAGTAAAGGAGGAGGGTTGGACATAGGGTTGGCGACCCCATTCCGTCAAAAACTAACTAACTTGCCAAAAACCAAATCACTCTTGATGGAGATGCATTGGAGGAGGTTAACACCTTTACATATCTGGGTAGTAACATCGACGAGAAAGGTGGGTCCGATGAAGATGTGAGGACAGGGATTGGTAAAGCAAGGGCTGCATTTCTACAGTCGAAAAGTATCTGGAACTCTAAATAAATATCAACCAACACCAAAATCAGGATTTTCAATACAAATATGAAGACATTTCTACTGTATGAAGCGGAAACATGAAGAACTACGAAAGCTATCATCCCGAAGATACAAGTATTTATGAACAATTGTCTACGCAAAATACTTCGGATTCATTGGCCAGACACTATCAGCAACAACGTACTTTGGGAGAGAAAAAACCAGATTCCAGTGGAGGAGGAAATCAGGAAGAAGCGTTGGAGTTGGTGGATAGGACATACACTACGAAATGCACCTAACTGCGTCACAAGACAAGTCCTCACATGGAACCCTCAAGCTCAACGGAAAAGAGGAAACCCAAGGAACAAATTGCACCGAGAAATAGAGAAAGATATGAGAGGAATGAACAAGAATTGGACAGAACTTGAGACGGAAGCCCAGGGCAGACAGAGTTGGTTGGAGAAAACTGGTGGGCGGTGGCCTATGCTTCATTGGGGGTAACAGGAGTAAGTAAGTAAGTAAGTAATTCTTTGTTTTTATTAATTAATTCAAAAAATGAATATTGAATGTTTTATTCTAAACTTTAAAGTTTAGTATATATTAATGTTTTTCATCGGATATTTTTTGATTCTGTGACGACGATGACTTGTTTCTCGGGGAATGATGGTTTAATAAATAGGAAAATTATTGAAATATATGCTTTTGATTGAAATTATGAACCGATCAGTATTGTATGTTCATTAGAAACGTGAAAGCACTTGACACCTATTTCATGCAAGTATGAGAAGTCATGGAGCGATCATTGTCAGGTGAACATTAGAAACTTGGAAGTAATGAATGGTCTTTTCACCCCTGTATAGGACTCACAGGGAATCGAACCTAGAACCTTTTGTCACACACACTCGAACGCCTAACTTCTAAGCCACTGAGCCGGCCAACATCCAACGGTGTTAATGTTTAACTTTGATCAACCTAAAGTTTTTGCCCAACCTCACTCATTCTCTTTGGTAGTTACTATCTACAATCCATAGTGTTGAACTAAACTGTTCACGGGCTCTCTAGATAATTAACTATTGCCTAACAATGAATGATTTATGATTTTAATGGAAAGTAACAAGCTCTCTAATACTATAATGAGTAGTGATTTATTCTTGTCATAAATATTTATACGAAGGAGTAAAATAGTCGACAACTACGTCACAAAACAAGCACTTAGTTGAAACCAACAAAGTCCAAAGGAAAAGAGTAAGGTCAAGGAACACACACAATACGCCAAGAAATAGAGACAGACTAGGGAGAAGAATGAAAAAAAATTGGACAGAACTGAGAAGGGAAGCCTAGGACTGAGTAGGGTGGAGAATACTGCTTGGTGGCCTATGCTTCATTGGGGGTAGTAGTAGTAGTAGTGTGGTGTAAGCTACTTATAAGTAGTATATGACGTGAGTGTCAACATAATGTCTGGCAGCAGAAGATGGGGCAAGATCAAGAAAGGAACAGTTAGAACACAATGGAATTTGTATGAAACGCATGAATAGTGACAATGGATTGATGTTTGGCAACAGGAACAGTCTAGTTCGATATGATGGACTGATATTTTGCAAATTAACGATTTACGATATGGTTTTCCAGTTTTACTGAGTAACTCTGTAATTTCCGTGAAATACAATTCGGTTGCCCCACCTGTGTTCTCGTTCACTACAGTCGTAGTAGTATTGTGAGTAGCAGTAGTAGTAGTAATATCAGTAAAATCAGAAAGCGATTAAGTCAATACAATACGATTAGCCGAAAAGGAATTAGGTTATCAAATTTTCTACTGAACAAATGAGTGTACTACTCATTGATAAATGAGGCTGTGATTCGAAGCAAATTACTGTACATGAAGCTAGTAAATCCAAGAATAAAGACTGTCATAAATGCCTATTACTCGTTAGTCTTGTAGTAAAACGAAACGGCCAAACTGTTCCGTAAGATTTTCAATATATTATCTAACATGAATTGATTTATGATCTCAGTAACCTTATCCATTTACACTGATGATAAATGGCAAACAGTCAATGTGAATCGTTATTATAAGACTGTGGGGATTGAAACCATTGGATAGATCAATTGTAGACCATCGTGAGAAACATAAAACAACTAGATGGTCGTTCATTTCTAATGTAAGACTTATCAGCGGTGTGCATCAAAGATCGGACGAGCAGGGAGTTGAACTGAAGTCCTTCGACTTCGCACTCGGATGCTAGCCGAAATCCATCCGTGATATTGCGCGACCCAATCCATCGCTTTTCCATTAGTAACTGCTTCAGACATGTCACTAGAACTATGAGAATCCCCTCTGATCGCTAGTCATTATTCGCGTACATTCCAACTGTGTTGACTGCCGAATTTCTTTAGAATCCATAAATATGTAATTTGTTTTTTGAAACCATGAATCCATCAATGTTAGACTACGATCAGAAACCTGGAAGCACTGGACGGTCGTTTTGTCCTGGTATGTGACTCTTCAGCATTGCGCATCCACGACTCTTGCACCCCGCAGGATTAGAACCCAGGACCTCCGGTGTTGTAGGCGAAGGCCTAACCATCGGACTACTGAGCCGGTATCGAACGGTGTTAATGTCTAACTTGATCAATTCATGGTGTTACGCAACCTCATACACAGTCTTCGGTAGTAGTTACTGTCTACACCCGAACAGATTGAACTTCACTGGTCTCACGTCTTCCCACTAGAACTCGGAGAAGATTCCTCACGAAGCTAGTCACTAGTCAGCACAGGTAATTTGCATTATGGGGTTGTTGTGTAGATTGTTAAGTTTTATTTGAAACCATGAATCGATCAATGATAGATCAACACCATTAAAAACCTGGAAGCACTGAAAGACAGCCGTTTCGTCCTGGTATGGGACTCATCAGCAGTGCGCATCCACGACTCCTGCACCAGGTTTCTTCCAATGGTGGTCTAACATTGATCGATTCGTGGTCTCAAAAATGTGTAACTTAACAATCTTCACAACCCCATATTGTGTATAATTTGTGATTAATTGTGATAAATTTCATGTCTACATACGTATACTTTCATGTTTTTTTAGTTAAAATAGTTAGTTACACATTGATTACATAACTGAACGCCAACACATCACACCAATACAATAACAAGTCTTGTTCATGTATGCCAACTGTGCAATACATGAGAATGAAAAAAAATGCACTTTTCAGTGGTGAAATTGATTTTTAACGTGTGTGTGTGTGTATGTGTGTATGCATGTATATTTATGTATCGATGAGAATCAATGAATCAGTGAATTCATTGATCAAAAATAAATTTTTTTTTAGAAAATTAAAACAATATTTGAAATAAATTTACAATAGAATAAAAATATTTTAAAAAAAGAGAAATATATTATGAATTAAGTAATATGTAAATTTTTATTAATTGATAATATTTATGGACTTTTGAAACAAACAAAAAAAATTATTATTGAACTTTGAACATTGTTTGAAATACAATACAAAGTTTGAAATTGTACAGTTTTGAATAAGTATAATTTAAACAAATTTTTTTTTGCATGACTAATTAATTTTTTTTTCTGTTGGTTAATAGTGAAGGATTTTTTTGTTGGAATGAAACAGACTGATTTGGGTTTGATAAGTGAGCTACATTTAATAAGGTTGTTTAATGCAGAAGTCGAAGAAGAGTAGAAGATGTTCGTAGGTTACTAGTATTCGATCATAGTTGTCTTAGATTCATTGGTCGTATATCGTGGGAAAACCGAGGAAGAAATGCTGTCGTTAGGAAACGAATAATAGGCAAGGATGGAAGATCAATAGATGAAGTAATGAAACTTCATCAGTTGAGGTGGTTGGGACATGTGTTGCGTATGCCCAACCACCGACTGCCTCGACGAACTTTGTTTTGTAGTGTAGGAGTAGGTTGGAAGAAAGCTAGGGGCGGCCAAACCAAAACATGGCAGAAATCCATGAATTCGTTGACAAGTGGACTGAGTCATGTTGGTAGATGTAGGTTACGTGGTTGGGGTCCACGAGACGAAAGTAACCAATGGTTACAAGAGACCTTGAATGACACGGCTCAAAATCGTTTGCAATGGCGCAGGTGCATCCACTCTTTGTGTTCTCTCAAATCCTAATTTCCTAGATTCGTCAGCACCTCTACCTTTGTCTTTCTAATCTTATCTCATTGAATTATACTTCTTGAATAATATCTTCAAACCCAACTAGTCTTCTTGATTACCATTAATACCTCTACTATCTTTATCACTATGGGATTTGATTTGACATTTGCGTCTCTGTGCTAATGTGGTATGGCTACATGAACTTATGTACATACGTACGAAGTTCTACGTTGCAACTGACTGACTGACTGAAGTCGAAACAGATGTATGAACCTGATTTTTAAACTCAATCGATCCAGGTGGCCTCTGTATCAAAAGATACATTGATCATTGAACAAGAACCAACAACGACCTTAACGCTGACTGGTTTTTCAACAACTAATCCAGATAGGAAGTAAATCATTCTATGTGTCTACTCAATTCACTGATGGATGATGATTCAAGACTCATTCATTAATATACTTACAGTGTTTTGACCAACACACAGAAATACAATTAAAAATTTTATAATATGTATATAACTTGAATATTAATGTGTAGAGAATGAAAGTGATTGGGGAACAAATTAATTGGTTATCTGTCAAGGATACTATGCCACATTATAATGTTTTATAGATCAAATTACGGCTTCAAAATTACAGAACACAGGAATACAATAGGCGAAATGTATAATACTTCGACAATAAAGATATTTAAATCCTAACCTTTCGTATGATAGTTTAAAAAGTTCCACGAAAGGGCTAATGTTCTCGTTTGTATATAGCATTGAGAGAATATAAGTAGAACTTTACAAAAACAACCATATGTAACTGGTCTAAAATCGAAACCCTTTATGTTACACATTCTTGCACGTAAAGCCTTCAAGGTCATTTCCAAATCCAGTTTCATTTTGCGGTACTGTACAAAGAAGTATTCTCTCATGGTGTTTAGAACTAGGAATGGATAAGCAGCTTCCTAAATAGGATTAGGCATAAACCTTTTCAGTCTGTTTTTTCTAAAATCATATTCCTTTTCTTACCATAAATTAATTGAATTTTTTTTTAATGATTTCCGTTTTATTGTACTAATAAAATATATGACAACTTCAGTCAGTGCTCGTTTGTACCAGGAAGTTGTGGATACTTATAGTGTCAGATTGTCTATCTTTTAAGTAATAAATGCTTTCATACGAATGATGTATTGATCATTGTTAGAAAACCGTTAGAAACATGAAAGCACCAGATAGCCATTTCTGGTATGCGACTCACCAGCAGTGCACATCCACGATTGTCACTCATGGTACTGAGATGGTGGAGAAAACTTGTAGCTCAGGTGGATGATTGTGGTGGTGTTACGTTCTCTGAGCTGGTTGTTTTGGTTGTGGAGCTTTCATTGTTCTTCTGAACAACATCATCAGCACAAACTTCAAATAGAAGTGAAGCATTAGAATTTCTCCACGTTTGACCTGTAGCTTGTTCTGTTAACCTCGATCTTGATTAGTTGCTGTTGACTTTTGACCTGTCGCTGTTTGCAACTTTGTTTTGATTGCACTCCCCTTTTGATCTGTTTCTTGATCCTGTGTCACGTATGATTTTTCTGATTGGTTGATAAATTGAGTCAATGTCGATGTGTTTGTTGATTGCTGATTGGCCTGAGAGCCAAGCTTCTAAAAATTCTCTAGTGTTCTTTATCATGCCCCAACCCAGTATTTCCACATTGTTCCAATCAAATGTGTGTCCATAATTGTCAGTGTGTATTGATATAAGCGAAGCGTTGTCGTGGCGTTTGACTGCTAATTGATGTTCACGTAAACGGAGCTGAAGAGGTCGTCCACTTTGTCCTGTGTAGTGTTTTTCACAGTTTGAGCAATTTATTTTGTAGATGATATTTGGTTTTTCTTCCTTTGTCATTTTGTCCTTTGGTCTACAACATAGGATTGATTGAAGTGATTCTGTTGATTTGTGTGCCACACACCTATTCCAAATGGTTTCAGTAATCGAGCTGTGTGCTCCGATATGTCTTTGATGTATGGTAGGATGATGCGTTTATTTGTTTCTGTGCTTGATTTTGCTTCTGATGATGGTTTTTTGATGAAGTTGCGTGGATAGCCGTTCTTTTGGAAGATAGTCACAAAGTGTTTTTCCTCGTTTTTTTTAGTGCTTCGTATGTGCTGCAGTGTGTCTTCGCTCACGGTACTCAAACCCAGAACCTTAGATCTCATGCTTGAATGCCTAATTTCTTGACCATTCAACCTCAATCAGTTTTTGATGTAGCCCAATCTCATCCATCGTCTTTGGTCGCTATTGCCTACACCCAGCAGGGTTGAATAACCTCCACTAGTCACAGCTTTTCACTAGAACACTAAAACATTTCTTCAAGCGGCACATTTTCTCATTAAAGAATTATCGTCTGACCAATCAATAATTCAATAATCTCAAAATATAATAACACAATCAACAAAAATCTATCCATCTATCCACTTACACATAGGACAACGTTCTGGCGATATTAAACGTAAACAAAATACATTTGTCATTGGGATCAGCATGGGCTGATCAGTCAGTCAGTCAGATGCAACGTAGAACTTCGTACGTAAGTACATCAGTTCAGGTTGCCATACCAAGTCAGCACAGTGATGTAATTGTCAATTCAAATCCAATAGTAGTAGAGGTAGTAAAGGCATTTGAAGTAATCGGAGAGGTTAGGATTAGAAGATATTATTATTCAAGAAGTATGATTCAGTGAGATAAGTTTAGAAAGTCAAAAGTAGAGGGGTTGAAGAACCCAGAAAATTAGGATTTGAGAAAACACAAAGAATCAATGCACCGGCGCCATTGCAAACGATTTTGAGCCATATCATTCAGCGTATCTAACCATCGATTATTATCATCTCGCGGACCCCAACCAGGTAGTCGACAATTACCGACATGGCTAAGTCCACTGGTCAATGACTTCATGGATTTCTGCCAGCAGTGCACATCCATGATACCTACTCACGTCACTCAAACCCAGAACCTTCGATCTCATGCTCTAATGCCTAATTTCTTGAACATTCAACGATGTTAATGTTGATCAGTTAATCAGTTCTTAATATAGCCCAACCTCATCCATTGTCTTTGGTCATTATTGCCTACATCCGACATGGTTGAATAACCTCCATTAGTCATAGCTTTTCACTAGGACACTAAAAAATTTCTCCAAGATGTACATTTTCTCATTATAAAGTTATCGTCTAACCAATCAATAATTCAATAATCTCAAAATATAAAAACACAATCAGGAAAAATCAATCTATCTATCATAGAATTTCACACTTACACATAGGACAACGTTCCGGTGATATTAAACGTAAACAGAATACATTTGTTATAGGAATATTTTGTAAATAGGTTGCAACATGATAATGACGTCGTCCGATAAATGAGATATTATTGATTTTTTCAATTTGATCACCTGGTTGTATAAGTCCACCGCAAGCTTTCGAAACTTGATCCATAAACCCATCAGGTTTAATACGTTTAATCAACACAACACCACAACCATTATCAGTTAATGTCAAGCCAAATGATTCACTAGTTTTACGTATACAAATTTCTTTTGGTTGACCTTGAATATGTGCAAACAGGAAATCGTTGAGACCAATTTCATAGCTTAATAATTTATCCATATCGATTTTATGAGTGTTACGTGTACAGAACATAATCTAAGAAAGTAGAAATAGAATAGAGAGTCAGAGAGATAGAGATATGTAAAATCAATCACACTAAGTCTGGGCTTACAATTATATTACTTGTATTTCAGAGTTACTTACTTACGTATTTGCATACCCCTGTTACTCCTACAGTGGAGCATAGTGACTCTCATCTATGTCTTCCTTTTCCAGTTCAAACCAATTGCTATTCACTCTTATTATGTCTGTCTTCAATTTTCTCTGCGTAAAGTGTTCTTTGGTTGTGCTTTTCTCCTGTGAGCTTGTGGATTCCAAGTGAAGGCTTGCTTTGAGGCGTAGTAGGGTACTTTCCTCTATGTGTGTCCGATCCACTTCGTGCGCTGCTTCTAGATTTCTTACTCCTCTGGAATCTAGTTTGTTCTATCCGACAGTAGGTTGTTGTTGATGGTATCTGTTGGGGATGTTAGATCCCCAAAACTTGCTTGTTAAATGCCTTATTTTGGATTCCACGTTTGCCATGATGTATAAATGGTGTATAAATAAACGAGAGTTGTATGCCTGATTGTACTGTGATTGCTGGGTGTTTGTAGAATATGCTTTCTACACTTACAAAGCCTTCTTACCTTAGTTGGGATTCAAGGTAGCTTACCTGGACGCTGGTTCATTGTCTCGTTCGCGTTTATCGACTAAGGTAGACTCGTAATAGCCTCAAGCATACTTAGTGACGAACCCAATAGTATCTGGTCAACGAATCCGATATATTTTGCGTAAACGACTGTTAATAAATGCTTGTATTTTCTGGATGATGACTTTTGTTCTTCCACCCTGTACAGTAGAAAGTCTTGATGTTCGTATTGAATATTGTGATTTTGGTGTTGATTGATAGGTTTATTCCAGGTGTTCTGTCATTATGGAAAAGTTGCCTTTGCTTTACCAGTCCTTCTCTTCACGTCCGAATCAGTTGCACCTTGTTCATCAATGAGGCTGCTCATGTAAGTAACGTTTTCCACATCTTTTAGTGCTACCAGATCAAGTATGATTTGGTTAGTACATGTTTTATTGTATCGAAGAATCTTGCTTTTCCATTTATGTATGTTGAGACTTGGTGCTACAGAGATTTCCATCTACTTCTATGTTTTTTTGTTGTGTGTATAGAATAAAAGAACTAGATTATCTGTGAAGTTCCAATCGTCCAGCTTCATTCGAGCTGTCCACTGTATCCCATTCATCCCTTGAGAAGTTCCGATCTTCATTATTCTATCGATCACTAAGAGAATGAGTGAAAGTATGCAATCTTGTCTGATACCAGTTTTAACTCAGAACGAGTTAGTAAGCTGTTCTCCATGCACATTCTTCCAGTTTCATTCATCATAAGAATTCCATATGATGTTGACTATCTTTTCAGGCATGTCGTAGTGCCGAAGAAATTTTTGTAACGGATAATCCTACTTGATCATTTAAACCGCGAGAAGCCGGTGAAGCAAACTTTTAAATCTTTAATCTTGAAAGTGATACCATACTTTTCATTACTTGACATCCATCCCTTGCTTTCAAGTTTCTAATGATGGTCTATCAATGATCGATTCATGATTTCAATGATTAGTTATTGTTAAAATGCTTACTCTTCTTTTGTTTAAAATTCTTATTTTCAAATTAATCATAAACCATATTTTTTTTAATTCAACTCGAGCATTATACATTTCAAGTTGAAGAAACTTAGTTTGCAATTGATATATGTCGAACTAAAACAAAACTCATCAGATCCTTACATACATAATTAGTGTTAGGTTCGTCACTAGGTACGCTTGAAACTATTACGGGTTCACCTTAATCGATAAACGCGAATGAAACGATGAACCTGCGCCCAGGTAGGCTAACCTGATCTGCTGACTAATGAAAAGTCTTGAATGTAGCGTAGAAAGTATATTCTACAAACACCCAGCCAGCAAGCACAATGTAATCAAGCACATACATACATCATAGAAATATCCTTGAGAGGGTCACAAAAACAGCACACTAAAATAATACACCAACCAATCACAGCCAAGGATTTTCCTAATGGAAAATGAAATTTCAAGGTCAACTGATCAGCCCATGCTCACAAACTTTGAAATTCAAAATAAGGCATTTATCAAGTGAGTTCTGGGGATCTAACATCCTCAACTATTAGTCACTGTAATATCAGTATTTATGCAGAATAAGATTATGACAAAAAATATTTCTTTTAACAGTTTTATCTTATCATAAAAATTTTAATTTTATTGATTTTTGATATAGCGAAAAATTTGTGTGTGAATTTCAAATCATTCAGTATCTATTGTTCAGATAATGCGAGTTGTATAAATGAACCATTTTTAATGATATTTACAATATAACTATTCGAATTGTTGTTTGACATTGAAATCGTCGTGAATCCGCCATTTTTAGACCATCATCATTCAAAAACCTAGAAGCATTGGTTGTTTTCGTTTTGTCATAGTATTGGACACTGAAAGAGTACAATTACACCACAGTAATCAGGGCACACTAATCGAACCTATGACTTTTAGTCTCGTATGCGAACACTCAACATCTAGACTAATGAGTCAGTATTCAACGATGTGAATATCTAACTTCAATGCGTAATATTGAAGAGTTTCAAACTAAAGGACAAAACGCCTATCCAATGTTTTCAAGTTTCTAATGGTCAAACAATAGTCAAACAATAAATGATTCATAATTTTAATGTAACTATTTATTTAATCATATTTGAAATCATTAATCAATCATTGTTAGACCACCATAAGCAGAAACCTGGAAGCACTGAAAGATGGCTGTTTCGTCCTGGTGTGGGACTCATCAGTGGCAGTGCGCATCCATGACTCCTGCTCCTCGCAGGATTGGAACCTAGGTCCTTCGGTGTTGTGCGCGAACGCCTAACCATTGGACCACTGGCTCAGCATACCACGGTGTTATTGTCTAACTCTGATTGATCAAGGGAATTTTTGCGTGACCTCACCCATTTGTCTTTAGTAGTTACTGCCTACACTCGACAGGGCTAAACTCCATTAGTCACGTCTTCTCAACAAACTGGTGAGGCCGCTCAAAATTCCCTTGATCAATCAGAGTTAGACATTAACACACAGTGGTACGAAGGTCCCGGGTTCGAATCCTGCGAGGTGCAGGAGTCGTGGATGCACACTACACACACTGCATTGATGAATCCCATACCAGGATGGAACGGCCGTCTTTCAGTGCTTCCAGGTTTGTGTTGATAGTGGTCTAACAGTGATTGATTGATGATTTTAAATGTGTAAAAAACAACACCAAAAACCTCCAAAAAAACTCTCCCCCGAAATTTATTTATTTAACATTTTCACAAATAAAATACTATTTTACATAATTTATTCATAATAACAATTTTTTTAATCTTATACTAATTTATTATTTTTTTGTTTTTGTACATTTAAAATTGTATTACTCATTTTGAATGACAATAAAAACAAAAAAATCAATTGAATTTTGAACAGAATAAATAAAAAGTGTGTGTGTATTGTGTATACACTCATGTGAAATAATTTTTTTTGTGCAAATTGATTTATGAAGTTAAAAATACACAACCACAATCAACAAACATCAACAATACTAGTTTTTGTTTAGTTTTAGTGTAGAGGGTGAGTGAGATTGATTATTAATTAAGTGGTATAGTTGTAGTGAACGAGAATACAGGTGGGGGCAACCAAATTGTGTTGAACAAAATGGAAAACCATATCGCAAATCGTTGTTAATTTGCAAAATATCAGTTCATCATCATATCGAACTGGACTGACTGTTCCTGTTGCAAAACATCAATCCATTGTCACTATTCATGCGTTTCATACTAATTCCATTGTGTGCCAACTAACTCTTCCTTTCTTGATTATTCCCCCATCTTCTGCTGCTGCCATACATTACGTTAACACTCACGTCATATACTACTTATAAGTAGCGCGGACCACATCGTTTTCAATTGCTGATAGAATTTAAGTTCGACCATTATTAAGAACAAACAAAACCATTAGACAGAATGCTTGTTAAAGTGATATACTCCTAAGTAGTTGGTATTTTCTCACCTGCATTTCATCACTTGCATTGAGCGCTTAACCTGAAAGCCACTACTAGTGAGTTGAAATCTGATAATTTTGTGATATAGTGTATAGTTATTATTCATTGATATTGGACACTGAACAACGATCTGGGGGAGAAAACAAACCAGATTCCAGTGGAGGAGGAAATCAGGAAGATGCGGTGGAAGTGGATAGGACACACACTACGAAAAGCACCTAACTGCGTCACGAGACAAGCACTCACATGGAACCCTCAAGGCAAAAGGAAAAGAGGGAGGCCAAGGAACACATTACGCCGAGAAATAGAGAAAGATATGAGAGGAATGAACAAAAATTGGACAGAACTGGAGAGGGAAGCCCAGGACAGAGTTGGTTGAAGAGAACTGGTGGGCGGCCTATGCTCCATTTAGGGGGGTAACAGGCGTAAGTAAGTAAGTAAGTAAGTATTGGACACTGAACAGCTATTTCATATCAGTTTTAGTCGCTACAGCAGTACACATTTATTATTGAGAGAAGGATCAGATCACAAACTTTTCGACGTCCAGTTCTACAGTTCATCCTTTATTCATTTTAAAACGCAACATGATGATCATCCAATCCCATTGGTGATAACGACTGACTGAAATCGCTTGTTACTCACCATGAAAAATCAGCCGCCGATCAGTGTTCTTCAACCTACTCTGTCCTGAGCTTCCCTCTCCAATTCCATCCAGTTTTTGTTTATTCTTCTCATGTCTGTCTCTATTTCTCGGCGTAATATGTTGCTTGACTTCCTCTTCTCCTCTGTCCTTGAAGGTTCCAAGTAAGGGATTGTGTTATGACACAGTTAGGTGCTTTGTGCAGTGAGTGTCCTATTCATTTCCACCGCTTCTTCCTTATTTCCTCCTCCATTCGAATCTGGTTCGTTCTTTCCTACATTAGATTGCTGCTAATGGTGTCTGGTCAATG